TCATGTCCACAAAAACAACTCGAGTCTTCCACCGCTTTAATTCATTTTAAAAAGCTTCTGAAATTTCCATGATTAGAAATGAATTGAGAATTATGAAAGTTTGGTCGGAAATATTGTGGTGACTTTAGTACGTGGCTCCAGGAATCCTGGTTACATCAAGAGAAAGAGAAGAGCTACTTAAGAATTTTTATTTTTTCATTTTCCATTGTTGTAAACAGGTCTATTGATGATCTTTTTGTAGAAGAGTTTTGATTTTGATGCTTTTATAATTCTAGATAGAATGCTTCCACAGTTCCACACATACACAGGTTCATTATTTCTCAAAATATCAATGAAATCCTTATAAAGCACAATTTGGATTATAATAAAAGAAAATAAGACCTAATCCAAATAATTTATTAGTGTGTGAAAAATTGTCAGAAGTGGGATTCGAACCCACGCCTACGATCTGAACACGAGCCTTAGACCGCTCGGCCATCCTGATATAAGATACTGATTTAAGAACTTGCTGTGATATTTTTTCTCATTTGTTCTTTTGTCTGATGATGGTGACAATGTTGTTGCCGTCACACACTTATAAATTATTTGGATTAGGTCTTATTTTCTTTTATCAATGAAATCCTTTAAATTACTTCTCCCTATAAGCAGAATGGTTCACTACACTAGCAGAGTTGTTTGGTGGACGGAATTGAAGAAATAACTGTAAGAGTTGATAAAACACAATTTGGATTATAAACACAAGGTAATAAGAAAAGAAAAAAGGTATCTCCTTATCATCTGAAAGTTGCTGATGGCTTGCACCATCTATCAGAATAAATGTCAACTATTCGTTGATTATAATTATCCCATAATTGACCAAATATCCATTCTTGATTAACCAAGAAAAGCTAACCACATACACATTTCGGGCTGTTGGCCCTCATCAGTGTGGTGCCAGCTGTACCTCAACGGCCAAAAAACTGGTCATTCAGGCATCTTGAAAAATCATGAAATGGGTAGTTAAGGCCAGAATTGCTTGAGAACGCGAAACAATGTGAAAAAATAGTACAAATGTGATATTGTACTGGGATAAGGTTCTTAAATTAAGAAAAGAAAAAAGGCATCTCTTTATCGTGCTGATGATGTTAACAAAACTGTTACCGAATCCTCACACACTATTTATTTATTTGTTCTTATTACCTTGTGTTTATAACTGTGAGAGTTCATCAATAAAGCTATGGATATATCTTGTTGCCTTGTGCCTGCCTCATGGAAAAATTCAGTAACACCTCTCATGGACAACCCGTAGTATGATAGAGTCACTTTCATAAAATCAACTACCATCATGAGAGGCTGGGTAAAGTAGAATGTATCTGCCTTTGTCATTAAGACTGGGAGCACTACTCAGTGGCAGGCCGACTTAACTCCAAATAAAATGGCTGCCTCTGACATGAGGAACAGAAACCATATGCAGCCACTCCTAACATGGAGTACAAAACACTGTTCATCCTGTATCCCTGGATTGGCTCAGCCAGCTGAGCTCAGGTTTTTTTTATAAAACTTGTTACTTCTTCCCCTCATCCTTAATCTAGGCTTGGGACTGACAAAGCAGACACCATCAAAAATCTCTACAGGCTTGATATATGATTGAGGGGAGATAAGAAAGAAGATAAACTGACTTGACCTGTTCTATATAACCCAATCTCCAATGAGAGACCACCTCTATGATGGTGTCAGGACAGTGATGTCTCTCACGGAAGACTTTCAATTTTGTAGAGACCTTCTGATTACAGTCAAACCTCACTACATCACTTGTGGAACCAAGTTTTTATGTTGTTATAACCACAGTTGAAACAACATAAAAACTTGAGAATTATATGACCCAAGTTGCTCTTATAAAAGAGTTTGCTAAAAAAGGTCCCACAGTATGTATCTTCATTTTAAGTGGATCATAGCCTGCATTTGTTGGTGCACAATTTCATTATATCAATTTTATTATTTTTTATAATAGAAAATGCACAAAAGGCAATGAGGTCTTAGATGAGGTAGTTAAGACTGATTATATAGCTGAACCTGGCTTTTACTCTATTTATCAGATTATCAACTATTTTTTAGTTTGTTTCTCTATCTCAGAATATTGGTCACCAAACCCAGAGAAATCCAGTATGGTGAAGGCTGCACTATCAATGACTAAACAAGGTGTTCCTAGAGGCTTTCCTGAAAATTTAAGAAATAGATATTTATGGCCATACCTTTTGTGGAATTAAAATTTCAACACCAAATTGATATGTTTACATTCCCATAGGTACCTACAGCACTGTACAGTTGCACTATAATATGTCTTGAACATTATATAAGTTGTTAGGATTCATCACCCTAAATGTCACACTCTAATGTAATTAGATAACATTCTTTTTTTATTATCTCTAGTACACGTAGTGGGTAATAGTTGGGGCAATAGCTTTAACCCTTAAGTGTATCACATATCTACACATGTGAAAAGCAGTTAGACTTTTGCACTTACAAGTGCAATTGTCAATTGTTGTGTGGGCAACTTCAGAGATCCAATAAGACCAAAGAAACTCATTGTGTATTACCATGGGACATTTTAAAATTTCTTTGACGAAAGGACATCAATTGTTGCCTTGGTAATTTCAGAGATCCATTGACAAAAGGACCTCAATTGTTGCCATGGTAATTTTGGAATCGATTGACAAAAGGACCTCAAATTATTGCCTTGGTAATTTCAGAGATCCATTGAAAAAAATACCTCCAATTGTTGCCTTGGTAATTTCAGAGATCCATTGACAAATGACCTAAAATTGTTGCCTTGGTAATTTCAGAGATCCATTGACAAATGACCTAAAATTGTTGCCTTGGTAATTTCAGAGATCCATTGACAAAAGGACCTCAATTGTTGCCATGGTAATTTTGGAGATCCATTGACAAAAGGACCTCAAATTATTGCCTTGGTAATTTCAGAGATATATTGAAAAAAATACCTCCAATTGTTGCCTTGGTAATTTCAGAGATCCATTGACAAATGACCTAAAATTGTTGCCTTGGCAATTTCAGAGATCCATTGACAAAAGGGCCTCAAATTAATGCCTTGGTAATTTCAGAGATCCATTGACAAATGACCTAAAATTGTTGCCTTGGTAATTTCAGAGATCCATTGACAAAAATACCTCAAATTGTTGCCTTGGTAATTTCAGAGATCCATTGACAAAAGGGCCTCAAATTATTGCCTTGGTAATTTCAGAGATCCATTGACAAAAGGACCTCAAATTGTTGTTTTGGTAATTTCAGAGATCCATTGACAAAAATACCTCAAATTTTTGCCTTGGTAATTTCAGAGATCCATTGACAAAAGGGCCTCAAATTATTGCCTTGGTAATTTCAGAGATCCATTGACAAAAGGACCTCAAATTGTTGTCTTGGTAATTTCAGAGATCCATTGATGACATGACCTCAATTGTTGCCTTGGGAATTTTAGAGATCCATTGACAAAAGGACTTCAATTGTTGCCATGGGAATTTGAGAGAATCATTTACAAAAAAGGTTTCCCAGAAGAGAGAGAACTATCTAGGATATATCTGTAGGATTCCCAGAAGAGAGAGAACTATCTAGGATAGGTTTCCCAGAAGAGAGAGAACTATCTAGGATAGGTTTCCCAGAAGAGAGAGAACTATCTAGGATAGGTTTCCCAGAAGAGAGAGAACTATCTAGGATAGGTTTCCCAGAAGAGAGAGAACTATCTAGGATAGGTTTCCCAGAAGAGAGAGAACTATCTAGGATATATATATGTAGGATTCTCAGAAGAGAGAGAACTATCTAGGATAGGTTTCCCAGAAGAGAGAGAACTATCTAGGATAGGTTTCCCAGAAGAGAGAGAACTATCTAGGATATATATGTAGGATTCCCAGAAGAGAGAGAACTATCTAGGATAGGTTTCCCAGAAGAGAGAGAACTATCTAGGATAGGTTTCCCAGAAGAGAGAGAACTATCTAGGATAGGTTTCCCAGAAGAGAGAGAACTATCTAGGATATATATGTAGGATTCCCAGAAGAGAGAGAACTATCTAGGATAGGATTCCCAGAAGAGAGAGAACTATCTAGGATAGGTTTCCCAGAAGAGAGAGAACTATCTAGGATAGGTTTCCCAGAAGAGAGAGAACTATCTAGGATATATATGTAGGATTCCCAGAAGAGAGAGAACTATCTAGGATAGGTTTCCCAGAAGAGAGAGAACAATCTAGAATAGGTTTCCCAGAAGAGAGAGAACTATCTAGGATAGGTTTCCCAGAAGAGAGAGAAATATCTAGAATAGGTTTCCCAGAAGAGAGAGAACTATCTAGGATGTGTGAGCTCTATCAATCCTACTTGAGAATGTAGGTCAGATGGAGGAATGGGACCAGGCCAATATTGACTACATGAGGGGCCTCTCTTATCAAGTTTCTTGACTGCGATCACCAGATGGATAACCGGACACATATTTCCCCCCGGTATCACACCATAAATCTCATTGATTTGCATGCTTCATGACATTTTTCTGTAAATCCAGATTCTTCTTCAATTTCTCTACTCTTGTATAGTAGATCTGTGCTTTTCTTTAACCTTTCTCTTCATTGCTCCCCATCCAGGCCTATATTCTATCTACCATTCATTTTACACTCCAGAAATTTGTTCATCAATCTATTTCCTCTCTTCTTCTTCTTTCTTATCTCCACTCAATTATATTAGGGTATCAAGTTGTGACCCTTGATGGTGTCTGTTTGACAACAATCATGACTGGGTGAAGTAGATTGTGTTTGCCTTTGTCATTATGACTGAAAGCACTACTCAGCACGACTTAGCTCCAAAAAAATGGCCACCTCTGACATGAGGAACAGACTCCATGTGCAGCCGCTCCTAACATAGAGTACAAACACTGCTCATCCTGTATACCTGGATCAGGAGCCCTACAGGGTACTATCAGCCGGGCCAGCTGAGCCCACGTTTTTTAGCGAGCTTGTTACTGCTCCCCCTCCTCCTTTTTCATCCGGGCTTGGGACCGGCAAAGGCGGAGTTTCTATTTCCTCTTAATATATATATCCCATCCAATTGTAGTTATTTTGGATGACCTCTAGCAGATCTCAATTCCTCTCCTTGTCACTTTTTCTTTTCTGAAAAAATTGCTTCAATGGCTCCTGATTCATGCAAAATTATAACCTTATATTAGTGCAAGTAACCAAACTGGGTTCTTGCACACTTATAAATGCAAGAAAGTTTAACTTCTTTCTACATGTGTAGAAATGTGATGCACTTACAGTAAAAGCAGTTGCTAAATACTGCCTGCCATGATTATCATGGCCTCTACTATGTTTGCTAGGGATAATAATAAAAAAGATTTTTTATGTAAATAAATATTTAGTGCTTATGTGCTTATAGCACTTGCAAACCATAGCCCACCATGATATTTTAGATACATACTGAGAACATGAAACTCATATTTCTACCTCTATAT